TTGGAAGACATGGAATAAAAATTGATTTAGATTAAATACACTCATCTAAATAGTCACTAAAAGTCAAATCAATTTGAGATATTTTTGAGTCAGCTAGATAATTTGATTTTCCTGTTTATATTATTTAGAGAAAATATTACCCTCATAATATTATTATTATAAAGAGGATTGCTACTTCACTGGCACCAAAAAACTCAAAATCCATATTGCTCATTATTATCGCATTTAAAACCTTATATGCATTGTTTTCTAGGCTCCATATATTAGTAATTTCAGAATATATCAGTTTTTTACTACTGGTTATATTTAATACGAAAATGAGAGATATAGTAACAAGGTACTACAACGGCTGATGGCACAACTGAATGTCATTCAACATTGAATCAAAACGTCTTGTATTTTGAATTCGTGACTGTTTGTGATTCCACGGGAGTACACACGGCTGCCCGAATTTCGGAGGGGAAGGGCGGGAAAATCGGGTTGTGGGGGCGGGGGGAAAGGGGGTCCATCCAATTTAGAAAAACGCCCACGTGGCGAGGGGGGAGCAATTTGGGTCGATTCTTTTTGAGACAAGCGCGATTTCCGCCGATGCGCGCGATTTCGCCACATTTGATGCATCGCTGGCATGCTGCCGCCCCAAATAAGGACTTTCGTGCCTCGCTTGCAACGCGTGCTGCTGCACATAACTGCTTCTTGCACCTTCTTTGCTTTCCGTGCTGCCCTAGTTGAACGGTTGTGTTGTCGCGTTGTACAACGCGACTGTGGGCTCATTTCCCTGGCCAGATACAGTTCTCTGCGCCGATATATCATTTTCTTTTCTGGCTCCTTCCCAGGGACAGGTTTCTGCAAAAACCGATACTTCTTTGATGTTTGGACCAAACACGTTGCCTTATCAGTTTGGCGTTGGTGAGAGATTTTACCCAAACATTACTCGAAACCTTGCTACTTTTGTCAGGTATTCTTGCTAAGCGCTTCAATGTAACTGTTTGTTCGCAGTGTAGGGAACCAAAAGGATGTTTGAACTACCTCAGGGTGAACCATCGTGCTAACAAGTTAGACCCCAAACATCCTGTAAACTTTTGTGTTTTAAGAAGCTTGGTGGACCCAGCCGAGCTTCTCATCGACCAACTCAATGTATATTTCTTAGCTCGCGTTTTTTCCTCATGCTCGAAGCCTGTTAGTGGCGTTCTTGCAGCCATGGCGGTCGGCGTGCCAGCGGAAATTATGGAGCTGCAGCGTAAGCGTTCACGTACTTCAAACCGTCGCCTGGAAGGGTATGAGTTGGGGAGCCCTACCACTGGCGCTCGTAGAGTTTCTACCCCTGCCCATCAGGTGGGTAACGCCACCGCCCTTCCTCAGTTACCACATTTGCAAGGCCTTGATGTCGGCGCGGCGGAAGTCACCGCGGACAACGGACTACCCTCTCCCCACGATGGTTCGAATGCCACTGCTCCGGTAGTGCAACGGTCTGCCGGTGTAAATGTTGTTGCCTCTGCTGGACCCGGCGGTAAGTTGCGTGCTTTGTCGTGCACTTCTTTTGACGTCAACTGTCATAACGTTTGATTGTATATATTTTTACCCTCATTTGTGTTACTTATTCGTTTCTACGTTGTATTTTCTACCTATCGGTTCCTTAGCTTTGCCCACGTCAGATCGAGATGTTCATCACCCTGAGGCCAACTCGTACAACCACATCGACGCAGCCATACGTGGCGAACTGAAGGAAGTTAAGACTCTGATGCAGCGTATTGAAAACCGTCTTCGTTTTTCGGATGAGATCCATCAGACTCTAGCTACGACTGTCAAGAACCTTCTCGCTATTGTGCACCAACCGAGTTGGTGCAACGAGAAAACCATGGAGGTAAGTTTCTTTTATTTCAATTCTTTGGTTGTTACTTAATTTTCATTCTTAAACTTTTCGCGAAATGTGTTGCTCTGATTCGCAGGATGCTTGCAAGAAGGCCTGCGATGATCTGCTCAGGGGCCCGGACGTCTCTGCCCGTGTCATTTACCCCGAGGAAGACCAGTTCAAGGCGGCCGTCGTGGTGCACCTCGCCCTGGAGCCCGAAGACTTCGGGAAATTTAATGACTTTTGGAAGAAAGGCGAGTGGGCGAAGAGGTGCAACGATATTTGCAACGGCCGGCGAGGGAAACTCGGCAACAAATCTCGGATGGCGAGTTTCAAGCTGCTAAAGTACCCTGACGGCAGAGTAGTGAACGACTCCGTTGACTCTCGGCGCGATTACGCGCGAGACTACGTGTCTGGTACGTGTACACTGTTTGCTAATGCTTTAGTTATTTCTGGTGTCTCACCACTTATGTTTCTCTTTGTGCAGAGGAATTTGGCCTGCCGTGGCATGCTCTGGCCGACAAGCCGTTTTGTAGCGAGGCGTTTTTAGCTGCTGCAAGCAAGTGGCAGAAGAAAGAGGATGGGGTCTTCTCCCTCAGCATTGATCAGCTTTGCTACACAATGGTCGCGGTGAGTTTCTTGGCTTCTTTTATGTGTTCTCCTTAATTACCATTTAATTCAAATGCACCTGTTTGCTTCGCAGGTGGAGTTTGAGATGCTGTCACGTGACCGAAGCAGCATGTTTTCTGATTCCCAGAACAACACCCGCGAGATGGAGAAGAGGCGGGCTCAGGTTGAGCGCTGGATTCGTCGTGCTTGCATCCCGTTAGTGAGTGGGTTTTTCTACTTCGGAGATGTTATTGTTAAGGAGTGGCGGATTGTAGAGGACATTTAGGAGCTTGATTCTGCTACTGCTGATGTAGATTTAGATTAGTTTATGTGACAATTCAGTTTCTTAATTTCTAATTATTTTTGGCTGCTAGCTTTATAGTCGAATTGTGCAATTTACATTTATGTGGCAGATTATGTTTATGATTTTTAGTAGCTTTCAATTATCTCATTTTATATATTCAGTTTATGTACTCTCAGTTTATGTTGGGCCAACTGTAGTGTAGTTGTCTCAATTAAAATAACTTGCTTTGTTTATCTCTCATTTGTGGAACAAATATCCGAAAACCGTTTCGTGAACTCTTTTTTGAATATTCATGTTATCACGTGGTAACCAACAATATCAAATCTGTTACGGCCCTGGTTACACCCAACTTTTCGAGTCTCGCATGTGCGAGGGCTTGCTTTTCGACTAGGAAGGTAACAAAATCGATATGCTCGCCCCAACTGACATGCGATTCCCAACTTACGCAATGCAGTCGCCTCGCAGGTTGGTTTCGGCACTGCGCAGGTTGACTGCAGGGTGGTTCTGTTGCCCCACAATTACCCCCCCGCATTGAAAGCCGACTGACAGGACTCCCGAAATCGGGAGTCACCAGGAAGGCTTCCAGCTAACTGCTGGAAGCCTCAGTTCTACGTGCGATGCGTCCCCACATCGCCGTCCCTCTCGACCTCACTCACCATTGCCGCGAGATGAGCGGGAGTCGTCGCGACGCCGTCGTGATTCTCCTCGGCGTCGCCGTTCGCAGGCGGACTAGCCTGCCCACCGTGGAGGTCGCGGTGGCTGGAGGGGTGGTCGCGGTCGTGGTGGCGGGGCGTATGAGCCACCGCTGACGCTTGCGGATGTGCAGCGGGTCGTTTCGGCTGCAATGCGCGAGGAGAGGGCTGAGCAGGCCAGCCGGGGCAGCTCGCGGCATGTCGCGCCGGCGCCTGTGGCTCCCCCTGCCGCACCTCCTGTGGCCGTGCTTCCTGATGTGGCTCCTCCTCCTCTTGCTCCTGCTGCGTCAATCTCCGCACCTGGGGCGCACCTTCGGCTCCCGCGGGTGCCTCCTGTGGCGGGCCTGGAGGCTGTGTCCGCGGCGGGAGGAGTGGTGACGGCTCACTCGTCTGATGCTGCTCCACCTGTCGTCGCTGCTCACTTTCCTTTTCCTGCCCTAGAGGCTCCTCCCCCGCAGGTGCGCGTGCCGGAGGCGGCGCTTGGCCAGGTGTGGCGGCTCTCTGAGAGCCTGCGTGCCCTCCTGCTGATTCAGGTGCAGGCGCACGCGTCTCTGACGCGGGCTCCCCTGGGTATCCTCCTTGACGGCCAACGGGAGGATTGCCTTGACGCGGCGGAGCAGCTTTCCCTCCTCCTGGTGCCCGTGTTGGCTGCGCCCGCGCGGGGAGCCGTTGGGGCTGTGG